AACCTGGGTCCCTGGGAACCTGTGTGTGCGGGACATGTGGGGGAGATGCTCCAGTCTCTTTTGGGGACCTTATTGCCCCCCAACTGAACATGAAGCACTGAGGACACACTAGATGTCGGCATATAAAGTACCTCTTCCATTTACATGTCAACTTTCCTCTTATAAGACAACCAGGAAATGAACTTTGAATAGGAAATGAATCAGACAAGAGAGCAAAGATGAGCTAATCTCTCAAAACATGCTGTCTGGGAGCTCCGGGGCAAGGACAGAGAGGTGCCCACCCAACCCGGGCATGTACTGGGGGCCAAGCCAACCTTTGCTCCCGTGAAGGTGACATACTGCTGGTCCTCTCCTCTCAAATCAGTAGCTCTCTTCCTTTCTTCATTTATTCTTTCATTCATCTGACATTCATTGAGCCCAGCCGGCGGGGCTCAGTGGCTGAGCGTCCACCTATGAAGCAGGAGGTCATGGTTCAATTCTTAGTCAGGGCACATGCCCAGGTTTCGGGCTCAATACCTAGTAGGGGGTCTACAGGAGGCAGCCAGCCTATCAGTGATTCTCTGTCATCATTGATGATTTTCTCTCTCTCCTTCTCCTTTCCTCTCTGAAATCAATAAAAATATATTTTAAAAAATTAATTGAACACATGGAGCTAAGAGCTTTAAAAGAAAAGGGGTGCAAAGGTGAAGGGCTTCCAGTCTAGTGCGTCTTTGAGTGAAGGATTGAAATAGGGACAGATCTCAAACACACAAACAATCCAATATGACCTCGCATCAGTGAAGAGTAGCGCAATGATCTGGGCATGTGTCTCTGAAAGTCTTCTCAGATGAGAAACTGTGGAGGCCGAGTCATCTTTGTCCAGGCAGAGAAAGAGGGAAGGGCATTCCAGGAAAAGCACAGAGGAGTAGATGAGTCTCACATGTTTGGGATTGTGGGAGCAAATCCATGGTGGACGTGGGGACAGAGAAGGGCGGGCCCAAGGGACAGGGAGTGAGGCTGTGAAACGAGTCTTTGTGTTCCATTCAAAGGGCTTTCACCAATCCTGTGGGAAAGGGGAAGCCAGAGAATGACATTTACATGATCCATCCTTCTGTTATACAAAGATAACTGGGAGCAGAGTTAATGGGCCGAAAAATAGGAGAGCTTGGGATGGGAAGTGACTAAAACCATGACATAAAGTTATGACACAACGACATCACCATGCATAGATTTTGTGGTTAAACATATTTTTGAAACAGAAGCAGCAGGAAGAAAGTTTACGGCAGAAATGGCCAGAAACCACAGATGAGCTCATGGCAGACAGAGTTGGAGTTTGAAGCTGTCACTGCAGAGGATGAAACACAGCCAAGAACATTCCAAATATTAGAATAATGTCATTGTCGTTCCCTTACCTGTGACAGCTGCCGGGCCAGCGTGATCTATGATCTCTTCTGGGCCTTTCATTACGTTGCCATCACTGCGCTGCCTTCCCAATTCACTGCCTCGGGGGACATTGGAGAGTTGAGTTCGAAAAGGAGAGTCACGAAATTAGATAGTCTTCATATTTTCTTTCTTTCTCCATTTTCGAACTGACTTCAAACAAAGGGCTGTTGAAGGATGAGGTTGTGGAGCCCTTTCACCGTCAGCTACAAGATGGGCTACATTTTCAGCCCCCAAGCACCCAGCTCCGAAATCTGTCCCCGTTCCTTTATTATTTGCAAGTATATATGTGTGTGTGTTTCTTCTACATTCCCTGGTGGAAGGAAGAGCTTGCTTGGGTGAGTCTTATGCCAGGGCTCTCAGGAAGTTAAGAGGAGGGTGAGGAAGCTTTGGAGGATGTTCGAGAGCAAAGAAATCAGGAGTCATGATGCAAGGAGGGCATGTTGAAGTGCGATCAGGCAAGGAGTTGACCGAGCGCTCTGGCCACGTGAAACCAGGAAGTGACCTTTAGCTCATCATCACTGAAGATGAGAGGACAGAGATGACACCCAGAGAGAGAATAAGTGGCAAACGTCACGGCGAGAAGGGAAATTCTAGTTTCTTCTTTACTCTTTGGATCACGTGCCCCCTCGGGTTCGATCTCTGTCTCCGGGCATCTGGAGGAAAAGTGAGACATTTAATTCAGGACTTGGACACTTTAGGTGGGTCCAGGTTTCGTGTCACCTAGGTAACACATCCGATTGGCGGAAGTGAACTTTCTCCTTTCCGTCGATGACGTGATTCTGTGGCCGCATGGTACTTGTGAGTTGCCATCTCTGTGGTTCTCTCTGCTTCCTGGCATCTGATCTTGCCCAGAAACTTGCAAACATCACATCTACCTCACCAACCACCCCTGCCCTCAACGATGACCGGTTGTGGGCCTCTGATTCCTTCATATGTTCACCGCCTTGGACCCCAGTCCGTGTGCCAGCCAGCTCGCCACTGTTCTTCCTGACAGACACCTGCTTCGTCCTTGCCCACAATCTGGACAGGCCTTCAGGTCGCACTGGGTGTCACCCATGCAGGGCTGCTAGGGGGAACACTGAACCCCCATACAGGCCTCCATGAGCAGTGTCCAGGGGCCTCCCATGATGCTCCAGCAGGTCCCCCCATTGCATGGACGACTCCCCCAAACCAAGCTGGACATCTTCTAGAACCTCGGGACATTTCACAGGTCCCCAACTATTGAGACTGTTGACGACTGAACTTCTGCCACCCACTTAGCAGATATCTGTGTGGCCTCAGTGCTGTGCCCCGGAATGGCTTACGCTGCTCTGAGATGCCCCAAAGGCACACAGTTGTGACAGAAAGAAGGGAAGGTCTGGAGACTCGGGGAACAAAATTCCCTGGGAACATTGGTTTCGCCACACCAGGGGCTCCAGAGCTGAAAGCTGCCACCTTCAAATGCCTGCCCAGTGTCGCATCCAGCCTGGACGCATTTGTACAAAGGTGACCCAGTGACCCAGGCTCACTCCCCCCCGTTCACCACCCCATCCCCCGCTCCATGGAGCTCACTAGGAAGCTCAAGCCGTGAGCAGTTGCTCAAAGCCTGAGAATATTCCATGGAATGACATTCCCCCAAGGGGTTAAATGATGGAGTGAGGTGGACAGAGAGCAGTCTCTATGAAATGTACAAGAAGGAAGTTTTCATTGAATTTTATTCGGGACTGAATTGTCCTTCCCCAGGCCTCAGTGCATTGATCCAGCGAGGTAGGATTGATAAGACTGAACTCCCCCCAGCAAGCAAAGTCATCTTTCTGGGATTCCAGACATTTCTGGTACCAGACCCCCCCCCCCCTCCATCCAAGGCATTGCTGATATGACTGACAATTCTTTCATTGTCTTGTGGTAAAATACGCATAACAACCTTTACCGTGTTAACTAATTTTAAGTGTATGGTTCTGTGGCATTTATTAAATGCCCATTGTTAGGCAGCCATCATCACCCTCCATCTCCAGAACTTTTTCATCTTCCCAGCTGATCTCTGTACCCCTCAAACACCAACTCCCATCCACTCTTTTCCCAGCTCTGGCAAGCACCATTCTACTTTCTGTTCCTATGCATTTGACTATTCAAGGTGCCTCAGAGAAGTAGAATTATACAGTGATTGTCCTTCTGTAACTGACTTATGTAACTGACAATTCCTTTAAAAATATTTTTTCTGTTTTAAATTCATTTTTATTGATTTCAGAGACAAAGGGAGATGGGGAGAGAGAGAGAAACATAGTGATAAGAGAGAATCCTTGATTGACTGCCTCCTGCACGCCCCCTATTGGGGATCAAGCCTGAAATCCAGGCATGTGCCCTGACAGGGAATCAAACTGTGGCCTTCTGGTTCATGGGTTGTCGATGCTCAACCACTGAGCTATACCGGCAGGCACGTAACTTACAGTTCTTAACCATCATTTTCCTCAGTTGATTTGTTTGTGTCACATCGACCCAGATGTAGTCCTGGTGCTGTCAGAGGTCCAAACATCCCCTTTCAACAACATAATTTCTACCAGTAAGCCAGCCAGGATTTATTGCATTCCTACCACATGTTTAGGAGAGGGTTGGCTGCCATGAGAAACAGAAGAACTCTGAAAATATGTCACCCTTCCTGCCCTTAAGAAATTTCTAATTTAGTAGATCGGGAGGCGAAGGGAACACACATAAAATAGCAGGAAAAGCCCTACCCGATTTGCCTCAGTGGATAGAGCGTCAGCCTGCGGACTGAAAGGTCCCAGGTTCAATTCCGGTCAGGGGCATTGTACCTTGGTTGCGGGCACATCCCCAGTAGGAGGTGTGTAGGAGGCAGCTGATGGATGTTTCTCCCTCATCGATGTTTCTAACTCTCTATCCCTCTCTGTAAAAAATCAATAATAAAAAAATACTTAAAAAAATAGTAGGAAAAGGCAAGCACCCATATGTA